TCTAAACTGTATAATATTTGGAACCGAAAAAATCAAGACATAAATCATAATCAGTGTTATTTTAGTTTATACTATAGTATTTATTAATGTTTTTATTTTTATATTTTGAGTTTTACATTTTAATTTTAGTTTGTCTTTAGTCATTTTATAGTTTTATTTTTAAATTATATATATCATTTTATTAAAAATAAATTAGCTTTAATCTATTTTTATTTCAGTTAGTCTTTCGAGTTAAAGTTTTTCATCTAATATTTGTATTATATTATTTCAGCTTTATTTCAATTAATGAAAACATTTTTTTAATGGTTTTAGTGAGCGATAACAACGCTGATCATGATTAGTTATTTTAATCTGTGACAGCTCTTCTATTTGTAAGGTGTCACTTGACACGTCATAATTTAAGCAAAACAAAAGTCTTTCCAAGAACCCCCTAGTCTATCCAAGCCCTTAGCTAGGAGTTCTGCTCTGGAATGATGCATCCTGGGTAAATTTTAGAGACTAAATGTACGACCGAATATATTTCTTACCAGACAGTTAAATGGGAAAGAAATTGAAACCCATGTCAGGAGCCACCAGCTTGGTTTAATTTTTGGCTCTTGTTGCCTCACATCTGGCGGCGTGACATTTTATCTTAAGAGAAAATTGCAACGTCTTCCATTCTGGCTCTGACTCGTTCTCATAGCTGGTTTCAACTGCTTGATATGTGTCACTGTATCTGGAGGCCAAAAGCCACTGAAGACTGGAAATGTTGACACTTTAATTGAGAATGTCTCTGCTGGAATGCATTTCAGAAGACAGGTTAATTACATTCAGTCTATCAGTTGTATTCTGCAGATTTACAAAATCCAATTTGCAAAGTTTAAACGTGCACTCCGTCATTTTTTCCTCATTAAAAAAGTTTTACAAAAAAAATGAAGAGAACCTTTGAAAAATACATTTAAAATCTTGTACATTCGCTCCAGTCATGCTGTATCAGATACAGCCTAATAAGTTGTTTTATATTTGAGGACCGCCATATTGAGATTGCATGACCAGCTAAATATTACTCACTTTATCTGTGTATTATAGCTGTTATTAGACACTTCCTTTTGTGGACTAAATTAATCATGGCTGACTGAGAATAGGGAATTTCTGCAAGGGAATCTGCAAACTTGTTTTTGCGTAATGCTGCACCCACACCACTAGGTTTCAACACAACAAATAGAAAATACACTTTTTTTTAACACCGTGCCTTCTTTTTTTTTTCTTCTTTTTACAAAATATAAGAAACTGAATATGAGGTTGATTTTAAAAAGGTTTAGCAGGAATTGCAGACAAAAGAATTAGATAAAAAATAAATACATTCAAAAGTTTATATTCAAAAATATGTTTTTGAACAAAGTTCCTATGCTTTTATAACACTGCATTTATTTGATCAAAAATACAGTAAAAACAGTGTGAAATATTATTACAATATAAATTGTTTTCTATTTTAATACATTTTCAAATTAATTTATTCGTGTGATGACACAGCTGAATTTTTAGCACCATTACTACAGTCTTCAGTGTCACATGATCCTTCCGAAATGAGTCTTATTCTCTGATTCGGTATTAAAACATTTCTTATAACTAAACTATCAATGTTGAAACATTTTACAGGATTCTTAGATGAATAGAAAGTTTAAAAGAACAGTATTTATTTTAGCATTATTAATGCCTTACTGTCACTTTTGATCAACGTAATGCATTCAGCATCCTTGCTAAATAAAAGTAGTAATTTCTTTCAAAAAATATCTTGCTGAGCACATTCTCTGGAACTGTTGTGTAATAAAGAGGACTGTAAGGCGAGAGGAAAGGGGGAGTCTTTTTACTGTTACACTACAGACTAAGCGCACCTTTAAAATAGATTGTAATTTTCATGTTTTGTATTTGTTTCAGACATTAAGGATATGATGACAGGTCCATCTGCAAACTCTCCAAGATATTCTGCATCCAGTGAGCCATCGACACCAGCATCTCCATCCTTCATCTCTCACTCCCCTGAGGTCAATCCCTCTCCACCCGAGGAGCTGCTCCTCCTCGACCCGATGGCCACTTCTCACGGGCAACTTTACCAACATTACAGAGACACCAAACAGCAAACTAGAAAGAGTGACTCGAGCATGCCTCATGACAACAATGACAATTTTACAATTCCCCGAAGACTGGATGGAAAAGAGCGCTCACGCAGCCCAAAAAAGACTCTATACATGGACAACAGGAATGAACCTAGTGAACGGGAACCTCGATCCACTAGCCCCAGGAAGACCAGGAAGGAGAGCGTTGGGATCAGACAGGAAGTGCCTCAAAAGGCCACTGATGGATTGAAGCCTACCTCTGGAAGGAGACACAAAGATGAAGACACTATGCACAAGCAGGACAGGGAAACAGGAGAGACCAGACCCGGTGTCTCAAGAGGTGGCAGTGACAAACACCAGAGGGACAAGACAGCAGAACCTCAGCGGGCTCCCGTACAGGCTCAGAAAGAGCCCGAGAGCGGAACCCTCAACCGAAAGGACCATAGAGGACGAGACAGGCCTCGAGGGGAAGAGGAAGACAGGGGTGGCCCTCTAGAGACTCCCCACGATGGGAACCTTACCACCAAGAAAGCCCCTATAACCCCAGGCCCCTGGAAGGTCCCCAGCTCTGCAAGGATACAGCCTCCAGTGCATGGAGTCTAATGCGTTTGGGAGCAGTTATCGATGTGAATCACTGTGTATTTTTTTTCTTTGTATGACTATCACCATCTACACTGATAACGTGCAGCGTTCGCTTGTGTCCACCAATAATAAGAGCGTAGATTTTTGTGTGCCAATCAGACAGCAGCTAGACTCGTCCATGTCTCCTTGCTCCTGTGACGATAACATGAAGGATGCTTTTCTGTGAAGGTTTAAAAAAAAAAGTGTCTATTGTTATGTATTAATTCTCCATCTTTGATTTGCCGCATGTCCTTACAACAACGACTTCCAATGATGCAACTGTCCTCAAGATCCAAGTGACTGTGTAGGCTTTGCATTAATCAGCTTTGCTGTGAATTTTTGACACATCCATCTTTAAAAGACCAGAAACTTGTGGTTAAGTATATTGTTTACTACCTGTGTGTTCATGAAGATGCATATGTAATTTATTGAAATTAATATGATGATATACAGTACACATATACATGTATAGAGGTATAGGTATTTGTACCCATTCTGAGCCAGGTCACTTATTAGTGTTCCAGCTTGCCGATACGTCTTTCGGCCTCCTAACAAACATATTTTTTCACAGTGCTATAGCTTTTACAGTTTATCGCGGTTGAGCATTTGCAAGGTGTGTACATTTGGAAGCAAATGTTTGCTCGTATCATTAGAAGGTGAAGCAGAACGGAAATTCAGATATATTTTTGCATACTATCCAATCTAACATATATTTTTTCTTATACTTTTTGCACATTTCACTCGATCAAATTATTTGTACTGCGTTGTTATCCCAATATTGGGACTTCATATTCATTTAAAGTGTCTTTGCGCATCTGTATCTTTCAGATCGTCCTTTTTAATGTCAAGATGCTGTCTTATATCCAAGGGAAATGTAGCGCAGAATTATGTATCAAACATGGTGGATGTTATTCATCAAGTTCTTAAAGCCTCAAATTATTGGCACAAAGATTCAGACTAAAGATATAACATTAATGCTGTCCAATATCTTTTCTCGTAAAACAGTATTTTTGAAATACCATAAAAATCGATTGTTCTATATGGGCAGAGCAGACAACAGTCAAACATTACATATGCTAGTGACTGAGTGCTTCTATGTTTTGTCATGATGAAAAATGTGAATACTTTCTAAATATGGTTTATGATTGCTTCTTGATCATTAATCTCAACCCTTTTGTAGCTTGTTTCTCTAGTGCATCTCATGTCATGAGGTTGTATGTATGATACTGTGGCCTTGCATTGCTTTACCTTACACAAAAAAGCCTTGTGGTCTCTACATTGTGGTAGTTGTAAATGTTTATAAAAATACAATGTACAGCACCTGTATAAAACTCGCCTTCGTGAGGGGAAAACAAGGGGGAAAAAATCTATAAATCGCTCCATTATTTTTTTAAGTAATTGAGAGTATGAGCATATAAATAGAGAGAGTGGTTGAAGAAATTAATCTGGTCATGACCTTCTGTTCATGCACTGATGAATAAAGATTTACTGAAAACATTTCCTTTTTTATGCCTCTTGTGATCCATTAAGTGTCTGATTTCCTACATTATGAAATATGAAAGTGGACTGAAAGTGCGGATTTGTGGGTAGTGATGGAAAGTCCAATTCAACATCCATGAACAGGTTATTTTGAACAGTTCATTTCAAAGAACCATTTCAAGATCGATTCAGTGATTCCTTTGTCTTGTAATCACGTGGTCCCATCCCAGCATACTGATGCTGTTACATTTCAAGGTTTTTTTTCGTTTTCATTTGTTTATTGCCCTTGTATTCAGTCTGTTGCATATTTTTTTATTTAGAACCTATTTTTGCTTTTACATTTAAATGTTAAAATTAACTTGAAAGCTTTTTAGATTTTAAAGCTGTATATTAAAACCAATTCTGTGTTGATAAAACAAGTCCTACAATCAAACCAAACATTTCCATTATTTTTTAAAGCTTATTTAAGATTTCTTCACCGGACCAGTCAAATTCTCCATGGCATTTATTCAAAAACCCTCTTGCCATCGCTTCTCGTTTTAACCAGACAATGGTTTTAACGAGTCAGTGAGTTGTTGACTCAAAAGCATCATGAATAGATTCGTAATCGAATCGTTCAGACCAGGTTCTTTACAGAGGTTGGGTTCAACGGATTCCGTGAAAAGATCCGACTCGCAAGAACAATTCGTTCATCGAAATTTTTGATGACACTCAGACAGGCAGATGCGACGCACTGAACATAGATCAACCAAAAATAGCGCAAATGACAGGCAAGAAAGCGTCCCGCGTTGACGGCCACTGAAGAAATCCGACACCGCGCAACTATGACCAGGATGTCGTGTGTTGTTCTTTTGTTGGTTTTGAGCTCAACGTAGACAGAGCGCTTAGAAATATAAATATCTCAACGAAACGGAACCGCCCAACCAACCCCTGAAGCTGCTACAGCATTACGTCAGCCACTGGACGAGGCGCGTGCAGAAGTGCACGCATCCATTCAACCGTAGCAGTACAGAAACATCACTACCCACAAAGCTACAGGTTGTGCGCATGCGCGTTCTGAGCGAGAAAACTACAAACGCATTAGCTCCGATTGGCTACTGACAAAAGAACTACAGCTCCCATTAGACATGCGCAAAAATACCCTTTTAAAGCCTTTTAAATTTACGTGCAAAATGGCTGCACAGGTCGATCTGCTACGCGTCAAAGTAGAGGAGAAGAGCAGGGACAGCTTTGACAAAGCCACCAAAGAGAAGAAAAAGAAGAAAAAACGAGAATGTTCGCCGTCCGATGACAAGTGCGAGAGATCGGAGAAGGAAGCGAAGAAAATAAAGCTACATCACCACCAACAGAATCACCAACATGCCCAACAACGAGCGCATCCACCGCACCAACAACAGAACAGCCAAGCGCGCAACTTCAGCAAAGAGCAGGCACCTGTGCAACACCGTCATCCCCTCCATCATCAGCTCCACAGCACCAAGAAAGAATTACCTCCGGGCTGGCCGCCACGCAAAGTGACACCAGCAGCCCACGTCCCGCAGAAGACGGTCCTGCCGCCTTCCCCGCTGTTCACTTTCACGCCTCTCAAAGTAGCGAAGGCCAAGCCCCTCAACAACAAGCCCAAACACATTGAGAAGGACGTTAAACTTAAGCCCAAGAAGGAAAACGCCGAGGCGAACGTTAAAGTGGAGGAATGCAAGAAGAAGAAAGGTAACTTTAATAGCGTTTGCACGTAAGCCAAACGATTTTACATTTCTGGCTGGCTTCCAACTTGAGAAGTGAGCGGAGAAAGTGTCGTTAGCCTCAGCTGCTAACCCATGCGCGCGCACGCCCCCATTCATATGAGCAGTGTTGCTAAATATTATCGAGGAAGAAAGTTTTCACTGCTGTGAAAGGACATTTGAATGAAACGTATAACTTATCATTTTCTCTGCTTAGTATCAGAGGCGTTCTCGTTACATATGTCTTGTTTACTAAACTTGCTGTTACTAAACTGTAATTTTTACGTGCATAACGTGGTACTATTATAGCTTTTTATAAGCACGATACCATTATAATACCAGAGTTTTCGGACACAATACAATGATATTCTTTAAGGCATTTTGCTGTATCATGTATATATATGGTAAATTAACCATTCTGTACTACATTACAGTACCATTACAGTATGTTGTCATGATTGTACCATGTTACCGCCTAAGTACTTTTTTAAATAATTGATATTTGTTGGTTAATAACAACAACTGTAGTGGTTATGGTATTGTACCTGAAACTATGGTCACCAAATGCCCAGAATTGTGTTGTATTTTGATTACCCCACAAAGTATCTAAAAAGTTTTCAAGGAGAGACAAAATCATTGATGTGAGGTTTTTTCTTTAATGTTTGCAAGGTAAAGTCCTAGAAGCTATGTACAATTGATAATTACCTGATGTTCTGTCATTTCTGTTGATCTTTTCAGAGCCCCACAGTGAGAATGGCAAAACCCAGACCCTGGAGGAATACCTCCTAAAGAAAAAGAAAAAGAAGAAGCGGCATCGTGAAGATGAGCGTGGCAAGAAGTTACGCGTGCACAACAAAGAGGTGCAGACGGTGTGTGCAGGATTGACAGGAGATGATCTGCCTCTTTCTGAAGACCCTGTCGTACATGCGTACATCAAAGATGAAAAGCCGTGTCCGGGCTTAGGTGAGTACCACACCCCCAAAGGTGGGAAGAAGCTGTTCCTCTCGCACCAAGACCACTTCATCCGCAGCTCGTGGCTTCAGACCAACTCCTCCTTCAGCAGACTCATCCATGAGGAAAAGCAGCCCAATGGAGGGGCGTCTGTACTACATGCTTATGCAGATGAACTGTCCTTACTGCAGCCTGAAGACACTGAGAGATTTACTCAGGAGTTCCTGGAACTCGCCTTTGCTGAACACCCTAAAGGAGCTGCGCGCTATGCACTCGCTGTGGTGCATGGAGCGGCCGCCTACCTGCCGGATTTCTTGGACTACTTTGCCTTCAATTTCCCAAATACGCCTGTCAAGATGGAAATCCTTGGTAAAAAGGACATTGAGACCACCACGATTGCCAGCTTCCACTCCCAGGTAAGGTGACGCTTTGAAACATCTCTATTGTAAAAAGCGCTATACATATATATATATATATATATATATATATATATATATATATATATATATAAAGGTGACTTGACTTGGCTTTGGCATGCCATGCCGTTTTTTTAGCTGGAATGCATTGGTGCTTTGCATGGGTGACTAGCAAATGAAATATATCAAATCTATTTAACCATTCTTACTTCTAGAGGATTGTTAAAGCAGCAGCAATTTTTATTTACTCAAGTCAGGTGGCTATAAGGTGTCAGTTCAAAGTACATGAACAGTCTTGAGTAAGTAAAGCAGACCAAATTTAAAATGTTAGGCTGTTTCTCTGGCGTCTCAGAGATTAGCCTACATAAACTGGCATTATCAAATTCATTCTTTCAAGAAGTATGAGAATCACATATTGAAGTTATGTTCGTTTTCTAGTAATATTACTGTAAATTTTTCCCTATGGCTTGTTCTCACCAAGGATGAAAACTATAATGTTTTAATTTTAAATTAAAATTGTAATCTTTTTAACTTTATTAGATTAGGGAAGTCCACACCACAGTTATAACGATAACGACACAAAGGAATGATATCATTGGAATCAATTTTTCCAGCTGATGAACAATAAAAACATTGACAACTGATCTAAATCCACCTGACTTTAAAAAGCTTGAGCATTTAAAGCAGCTAACGGTAACTGCAGCGCACCCTTATAATAAACAGAACATTATCATGCATTGGTGTGCACGCTAATATAAATATAGTTCTTGTTATAGTTATAATGCTTGATGTGAACAGTCCTTTAAACTTATTTTGTTTTATGATGAAGCTTTGAAAAGGCACTCATGCTGAACTTTGCATTAAGGTTCATTTTAGTTTGTTGTTGTTGTTTTACCCATTGCAGCACTAAGTTAAAAGGTGTGTGTTAAGATGTTGTTTCCTAGCTCTGAAGTGCTTTTGTGTTGCAGGTGAGCCGAACATACTGCTCTGGGACATATAGAGCTGGTCCCATGAGGCAGATCAGTCTGGTCGGTGCAGTAGATGAGGAGGTGGGCGATTTCTTCCCGGAGTTCTTGGACATGCTTGAGGAGTCTCCGTTTCTTAAGGTTAGAACATAATCTCTCACAGAAGAGTGAGTTTGAAAGTCCTTGTGCTGATGGTGTTTTGTAGTGCAAATGGTGCGTTTCAATTTACTATTTTTTTTTACTGTTTCTTACGGTTTTGGATCCAGTTAAATAGTGTTGTCTTCTCGCACAACTATGTAAAATTTTTAGTTGCATTCCTGTACTTTTAAAGACCTCTAAACATTAAAATTGGAGATCTATACACTACTGTTCATAAATGTGGTGATTTTTTTTCTTTTTTCTTTTTAAAGAAGCCTTGTGCTCAAAAACTGCATTTGTTTAATCAGAAATGAAGTAAATTTAAAATAACTGTTTTTTTATAAATATAATTTATTCCTGTGATGGTGAAGCTAAAATTTCAGCAGCCATTACCTCGGTTTTCAGAGTCACATGATCCTTCAGAAATCATTGAAACATTTCTTATCAATAAATCAATTGATACATTTACATTTTAAAATAAGAATAAAAAAAACAGGTTTTTAAGGAATAGAAAGTTTAAAAGAACTGCATTTATTTGAAATAGATTTTTTTAACATTATAATTTATAAATGTCTTTATTAATACTTTTGTAGCCAATTTACTAATCAATTTAATACATACTTGATGAATAAAGGTTTAATTTATTGGGGGGAAAACTTACGTAGTAGAAAAACGTAGTTTTTGTCCGATAAAACGTCCTATAGGAACTGTGAAGCAGAAAGTAATGTGTTAGATAGTGACTAATGGTCGATAATAAACTATAATCAATAATTTCCAATGCTACAAGGGAATTTAGACCTTATAACATTATATTGTAGAGTATGAATTTTTTTTATTGAGATTTGCTATAAAATTTTACATTTGTTAATAAATAAGTGTTTTTAAAAATGAACTGAGTATTGCAAAGGGGAATATCTAAATGAGCATGATGTACAATTAGATATGCAATTTCCATACATTTAAAAAAAAAAAAAAACTCCAATATCAGCCATTAACTGATATATTATGCATCCCAAAGTAATAGTAAGCTGCAAGTCATGGCTGAGATAAGTCTGCTTTGATAAGTTCCACCTCAACATCCTGTTTCAATAGGAAATATGTTTGTTTAGTTGTTTCTTGCCATTCATACATTGAGACGGTGGTCGGGGCAAGGCTACAGCATGGTTCTAATTTTACGACTAATGTTTTGTTTGTCTGTGCAGATGACTTTGCCATGGGGAAGCCTGTCCAGCCTGAAGCTTGACTGCAGGTCCCAGAGCGACGATGGTCCCATCATGTGGGTGAGGCCTGGAGAGCAGATGGTTCCCACAGCTGATATGCCCAAGTCTCCATTCAAGAGACGAAGGTATGCGCTGTTTCGATGCGACTGTTGACATTCAACCTCAAAAAAGACTTTCATGGTAGCGCCTTACAAAACGCTTTCTTTTTGGTTGTAGATCAATGAATGAGATCAAGAACTTGCATTACCTCCCGAGAGCCAGTGAACCACGTGAGGTGCTGTTCGAGGATCGGACACGAGCCCATGCAGATCACGTTGGCCAGAGCTTCGACTGGCAGAGTACAGCAGCTGTGGGTGTCCTGAAAGCAGTGCAGTTTGGGCAATGGTGAGCCACGCAGAAACCTATGCATGTGCTTGTACATGCAGAAAACTGTGCGTAATTAACTAATTACCTTTGATGTTATCCTCTCTCATAGGAGTGACCGGCCACGGATAACCAAAGATGTGATCTGTTTTCACGCGGAGGACTTCAATGACGTCGTTCAAAGGCTTCAGCTAGACCTGTTTGAGCCACCTGTGTCACAGGTAGGAGCTGTTAAACTGCTAAACAGGACGGACTGTAGGCATGTGTGTTTATATTAGTCATGGCTAACATGAGCACAATTTATGAGTGACCATGCAAGTCATCATTGGAGTTTTTCACTCTTTTCCACCTCGCTTTTAAATCGCTTGCGGTGCGTGTCCACTGGCACGGAACAGAGCAAGCGAGTGCTTTCTAAAAAAATCTAAACAATGGTGGGGGAGGTGCCGCTGTGGGCAAGTGCTGTAACCGGTAGTGCGGCAGAACACCGGTAAACACTGGCAACACGACTATCGCAACAACCCTAACTGGTACCAGCTGCACTTTCTTGCTCTCTCTTTACAACTTCAAGTTAACCCGCATAGCAGTGTGTATTTTAATTATGAAAGTATATAGTCTGTTGTGCTGCATGTTTTAGAGCAAAGTGTGACACTGTGATCATTTACACACTTGCAGCTTATAATGCAGTGTTTTCAGCTTCTGAGAGCGGCTCAGTTCATAGTAAATGCGGTGAACCCCATCTCTGCATGTGAAGAGAGCTAAACGCGCATTTGGGAATGCAATATGTTTTTGCATGCTTTGTTTTTGGCATAAAATGTATTATTATATTATTTTTCACTATATTTGATTAATTTACAACTTTTTTGTGGATGGGTGATAACATAATTTAACACAGATGTGTAATGACAAGTGTTTGTAAACCTCACAGACACTTAGAAGGTCTCCCTGCAGTTTTCTACCAAAATAAAAGCTTGAGGGTTTAACTCTTGCAAGTGAACATATTAAGTATTAAGAATGATAAATTTACAACTAAAAAGTCAAATAATGAATATACTTATGAAATCTTAATTTTAATAATATTTTACAGTGCATTTGTTTTACAATAGTAATAGATTTATGTCTTGGAAATAATATAATTAATTATAATAATAATAATTTACATTTCACGATTCGATTTCGATTCACAAGCTTGCTATTCGATTCCAATTCGATATTGATTAATTTGGATACATATCAGGTACAGTATATGTAAATTGTCTCAAGGAAAAAATCTCTCAACTAATGCTGTAAACTATACAGGAAGTCAGTTGGTATTGCATGACTATAAAATTGAAGGTTCATTTTTATGCAAACACTTCAATTACACACAACGACGTTTTTATAATAATAAAGTTATAATACTAACTTTATAATTACATAATTATGTTTCTACTCCAATTTGTTTTTTGAAATATAAACCTTTAAATGCTGGCTGTCATAAAAACTTGTCGGATCTATTTAAACACATAACTGTAAAATGGCTTTTCTGAGGTAAATGTAACATTACTTGACGTTGTTTACTAAGCTGACGTATTTCTGCGGTTGAATCACTGATTGAGCGATTACATGAGACATGCTACGCATTTCAGTAAGTTGTACAGTATATTTCGACATGCCTTCTGATGTTTATTTCGTGCTGTAACTAGCAGTAAAGCGGAAGAGATGCTCCGTTCACGTGTGCTTCACGCTGCTGTTTCGTTTGATCTGAGGTGGTCATGCTCACGCACGCCACATCGAAGAGGGCCAAAATGGTATTTATTGGATTTCAAAATAAAATGGACAGAATTTGAAAATCATATCAAAAGTAACTAAGCACATAGCTTATTGCGATTTATTGGATGTGAGGCGTTACAATGTTCTGTTAGTTCATCGACTGAAAACAGCATAGATTAAAAGATTGATTCTTGAGATTTAAGAATCGATATCGCTTCATAAAAGTGAGAATCAATTTTTTTTTTTACCCTTACCCTGCCCTAATAATAATAATATATATATAGTCCCACTATCAGTCCTATCAGCTATCAGTCCTGAGGAGTGTCCTGAGTTTTAGTTAAAGGGTTGATTATGATTTACCTTTTCTAATTTTAGTTAGTGTGTAATGTTGCTGTTTGAGCATAAAAAACATCTGCAAAGTCACAACGCTCAAAGTTTAAAGCAAAGGAAGATATTTGCTGCTTTTAAAGAAATCGTTTTTTAAGGACTACAACAAACGGCTGGTAGGGACTACACGACATTCCTCCAGGGTTAGTGACATCACAAACCCTAAAATTTACATAAACCCCACCCCCGGGAACACAATTTATAGATTTTTATGACAGAATATATGCTAATCAATGACTAGAAGATAACTCCACATCAGCTGCATACATTCTTCAACTAACCATTCAGAAATGTCCTGTTGCTTTCTACATGTTGTCACTTTTTCTTCTTGAGTCTCTCCATCTTTGTCTGGCTCCGGCTTGAACATAAAAGGCTAAAAGTTTTTGAAATTTTCAGTGCATGTCTGTGTGAGGTAAAAAGACACAAGCTGTTGAAGCTCCGCCCACTGTGCCAGGAGCAGCAGCTCATTTGCATTTAAAGGGACGCACACATAAATGGTGTGTTTTTGCTCACCCTCAAAAAGTAACAAATTTAACATGCTATATAAAAATATCTGAGGTATTTTGAGCTAAAACATGACATACACACTCTGGGGACATCAAATACTTATTTTACATCTTGTAAAAAGGGCATTATACCACCCCTTTAAAGTAAATCAACTTCGATACTTATCACAATTTATGCCTCTAATGTTGTGGCAGTTTCTCCCCACAATCTTTTTCAAGGTATTGTATTGAACGTAGTATCATGAGGCAGTAGCCTCCGCTATATTTTCATCTTTCATATATTTTTTAAGGTTCTGTGCAGAAATCTTGTTTGATTGTGAAATATTCAATTAAAAAGATGAATGAGAGTAGATTGATGAATGTCAATCAAAAAGTCTCATTTGTCAGCTAAACTAATCTAAGAACTGCCTAGAATAATCAGTTATATTTATGTAATATTGCATGATTTGAATTGAATATCAGCCCTGCTGTTTATTCATCCATAAACTGAAGGTAATTTTTTTTTATCATCTTTTATAAACAACATTTTGAGGTATTTTGAGTTGAAAATAAATTGAATTAAATTCAAGGCATCTAAAGTGGTTAAGTTTTGATGATGCATAATCTCTAATTATTTTAAGAGCACAATCTGATCTATTGATGACACGTGGTGTTGGATGAGCAGTAATTATTACATGATTCCTGACGGGTGTGGAGAGGATGTACGGACAGGCAGGTGTAAAACACGTCAGCATTCTCATAATGCCCCTCTCTTTACAGTGTGTCCAGTGGGTGGACGATGCCAAACTCAACCAGTTACGACGGGAAGGCATCCGCTACGCTCGTGTGCAGCTCTGCGATGACGACATCTACTTCATCCCCCGCAACGTGATCCACCAGTTTAAAACCGTCTCGGCCGTGTGCAGCCTGGCGTGGCACATCCGTCTAAAGCAGTACCACTCTGAGGAAGAGGAGGAGTCAAAGGACGTTAAGACCATGGACCTGTGTTCCACATCATGTCCTCCCCCTGTTCACCCGGACACCAAAGTCACCTCCTGCGCCCAGCTACAAACAGACACGGCACAAGGTGGGGTGGCGAAAACGGATGAGCTGGTTTTCCAGAGGCCCGCTACACCACCCAGAGACCCACAGCCCGCGCCTCCGCAACCGGCTAAATCCGCCCACACTGTTCCCGCCGCTCCCTGTTCAGACACCAGCCCTCTGTCCTCGGCCACACCAGAGATAATGCTTCCACAGGCTCCCGTCAAGCCTGCATCAGACTCCTCACTCAATGGCAGCAGGTCCACGGATTTACCCTAATGACTTCCGAATCCTTCATTTTACGGAGTGGTGGAGTTTTAATTCACCTGACAGACTTTTCTGACATTCCACAGTGTAAAAAAAAAAGGAATATCTTGACTTCGCCTAAAAACGATGAAGACTGTATATTTTTCTTTTTTAGATTTTGGTTAAGAAAAAGCGAGTGCTTTTTAGGTTTTTCTCAGCCAAAGTATTTAATTTGAAATATATTTTTGCTGATTACTCAGTATTGTTTTATATTTGTTTATATATTATTATAAATGAGATGAATTGTCTCTCAAGAAGGACTTGTCATGTTGTTTCCCAGGCCGTCATGTGCATCTGCTAATTGGTTTTTACAAACAAGGGAAAAAAGTGCCTGTCACAAGTGGAGAGCAGCAAGTATATCTCAAAAGAGAAAAATAGGCTTTTTTTTTTTTTTTTTTTTTTTTCATGATGTAATGTCACACTGCAGTATATGATGCATTTAAGCTAGACTAGAGAGAAGGTATCAATTTCAAGCGAAGAGCGATATTTGCTTTTTCATTGATCATCCTCTGGTTTTGGAGTAAAACACTTTGCTTGAAGGAAAATAAATTATTTTTTGAACTAGTAATAGCAGTAATTATCAAAGAGGAGCCTGTGCATTACAGGAAATAGGATTTGGCCTTCACAAGAGGGTTGTTCATTTTTTTTTTTTTCATTTTTGTCCAGAATAGTCAGTCTTCTAAGATCATGGTCATAAATGTATTTGTCATGTTCATTTTCTGTCAGAAGTCGTGTATACAGAAGCCATTGATTTGGGGGGTTTTATACATATTTTTATTTTGGACAGGAAGATATATTCCATCTAAGACCGGACGTTAGCAGAAAATTTGATGGAAATGTAATAACCAAACCTGCACTCAGGGGAAACATACTGATGCCTTTTCATTTGGTCAAGTCTTATTCTTCTGTGTTCACTTTGTAGTTTTATAGTAATCTAATCCATTTCTTCAGATTATTGGGATTTGATTGACTTATTGAGCTCTTGAACATATGATTCTGACATGTTAGAATGAGTTTGATGCAAGGCAACGGCCCCTTGATTCAAATGGTTCATCTAAACATGCTTCCATTGAGGTTTTACGCATGATCCTCCTCAGACTATCATAGTAGTTTTAGAGTCCAAACTGATTTTTTATTTTTTTTTAATCATACTTTATTATTCTCTGAACTTTTGTGTTTCTTGTCTTTCTTTGACATGTCCCCATTTTTAAAATGGGGTCCCGAATCCCAAATTATTATTCCTGTTGCTTCGGCTATTTTAAGCATTTGTTGAATTTTTTTCTGAAAATTAGTGAGTGCAAATATGAATTAAATCTATTATAATAATATAAATTCCTTCGCTTTTCTTGTACCAGAAAACTGTTATTGTATTGTTGCTGTTCCCATAATCTGCTACCCAAATCAAACTCAAAAATGTTCTCCTTAAAAAAAAAAACATTTGATATTATTCATAAGTAAAGTAGCAGCACTATTGCATAACACTTGTTTCTTATGTGTTTGAACTGAAGTTGTCCTTGGTAATTTATGATAAGCATTCTAGGGTGACTGCTTTCCGATTTAGTTGGATGAGTGCAATTTAGCTTTCTCTTGCCAAGTGTAGTTGCCTGTCAGTAATGTTTTTGCACATGTTGATGTGGTTATTTTAAACGGGATTAAGTCTTAAAACAGGCATTCAAAGTTTTTGAAAGGGTTGTGGGCAGCAGTTTTGCTTCTCCATTGATGCCAAGTATTGCTAATGACTGATTTGAATGTAATTTCACACCAGCAAGCCAATCAGTCTACATTGATTATGGTTTCAAAACGATCTAATGGCTTTCCCTAATCAAATGCATCCTGTAAAAATGAGTGCCTTCTATCGAGTCTTTAATTGTCTGCGATTAAGCTAATTGATGTTATACAAGTTTGTACAAAGCATTAATTGCGATGGAATTTCATAAAGTCTGGCAATAAGTAATGATTGGGTATTTATTATTGTAAAAAATGCTAATTCTACTCATCCAGGATCAACTGAAGGTGACCACTTTATCGGCCACCAAAGGATGACAATGCAAAAACTATATATATATATATATATATATATATATATATAGAAAAATTGGTGGTAAATGACATTGAAATTTTTAAATCATGTGCAATATGAATCATATCATGCTTATATTTCCCACTGTTTTTAATTAGGATTACGATTATATATGCAGGTTGGAAAGCCTAAACCGTAATAATTTTCCCCATCATTCAGTGGCATTTTCTCAGATTCTGCAGATTAACGGTTTTGTTTAATGAAAGAAAAGATCCTTTCACATTTCACTTAATACTTAAATTAGGAGTCATTATTTACCAGAAGATGAATCTTCCCATATCATGTTCTCCCCTCAGTAACACACGATTATGCTTTTACACCTTATGGTTTCATGGTATATTAAAATAAACATGATGTTTAGCGTTCTATGTTTCTTCTGAATTTTGGCAGCTAGACTCTTTTTTTTTTGTGTTGATCAGGTTTTTGATGGTCGTTTGTAATATAGGAATCCCCACACTTAGGGATCAAGGCATGCTCTCTGTGTTTGATTCATTATTTACTCTGTTTGATATTTGTACAAAGGTTTTCAATTTCATTGATTTTTTAAGGACTTAACTAGATGGTCAATTATGAACATAGTCAAAGTAATGTTTTGTAAATGCTAAGTTACATTTAATAGAACTGTCATGTGGATCTTTTCAATTGTGTAAAAATGCAATGGAATGCATAGACTTTTTCTGTATTTTTTTAAATAAACCATTTTATGAGTGTACCAAGATGAAGCATTTCTTAAAGGCAAATGACCAGACACAGTTAAACACTGTCACAAACCATAAACTTGATTACAGTTATTCACAATCATTAGTAGCCTAATGTAGAAAGGCTTGTTTGGCCATACCTGCAGCTGTATGTATTATAAAATACATTAAAAAGGTTACCTATGTGATTATGGAAGTGTCTACATTTCAGTACATTCTTCTCTTAATATCTTGTCTTAAGTTGCACAATTATAATCATTTTATATACATTTTAGTTGGAAGTTCGTTGCAACGGTTCAATGTTCAAACAGGGCATTCTCTTGCATTACACCTCTATACAGAATCTGTATGTCCATCTGTTGTGTGAGGTCAGTGGTTGGTCTGTTATCACTCAAAAACCACAGTCTCTGTGGCTGAAAGAAATCTTTGCTCGTCCCCTGTTGCACTGTCTTGCGAGGCTGTTCTCCTTTCCTTTCACCATCGACATGAACTAGACCCATGTTTCTGGTTTACTTCGTGGGCCTTTTGGCTTTCCAAAACGAGATCCGAAAGCTGTGGGGTAAGAAAGGAGTCATCAACTGTTCACAATGTCATGCGTTGGCATTAAAGTACCAGGTATCATCAATGTGAACTGAGGACATTTAAAATGGAGTAGCTCCATCTGGTGTCAACTCTCAGAACACCAGTTTGAAAACATTTTGGTCTTTTAAAAAAGTGTATTTTAAAGAGGCGGATAGCTTACAAAATAAGAATCCAACAGCAGCACCATAGGGTGGTGGAGCAGACTGAGGCGGGGCTGGGGGAGGGGCTGAAGGTGGAGCTGGGGGCGGGATCGGAGGCGGAGCTGTTTTTGCTGAAAATGACATTTAAATGATGTTCAAACCACACGAAGCTGCTTGTCATTTGATTTAAATGCTTATTTTAATAGAATGAAATTTAGTACAATTAGTTGTATCAACCAGGAAAAGTGGTTATTATACATACGCCTCTGTCTTCCTTTCAAAAACTTAATACTCTGTAAGAAAAGAAATATGTATTCACATTTATAGAATCTGCTTTTATCCAAAGCAAGTAGGCTACTATTCACACATAAGAGGCCATTCACACAGAACACGTTTCTGCATTAAAAAACGCAAGAGGCATGGTAGTACAATAAAAAAAAAGTGAGGTCTATAGCTTTTCTTTTCTTTTTTTAAGTGTAACTGAGCTCTGTGGACTCGTTTCATGTGCGAGATGCTCAACAAGATTTGAGACACAAGCGCAGTTTTCAAACCAGTAGTGTAGCCACAAAGGGGAATTTCAAATTGGTGGTGGCTTTATCTTGAGCGCTGTATTTTTAGAATGGCTGAGGACGCAAAGGACACAAACCGTGAGCACAATGGTCAAACATTTGTACAAAAAAAATCGATGGAAAAGTTGAGCAATGGAATACAAAAACAATCTGTGTGAACGGCCCCTTTAAAGTGTATTCAAGTTAGGCTATACATTTTTCAGTATGTAGGTTCAATGGGAAAAAGGGGGTTTTAAATAAATGTTTATTTGCCATCAATAAACTGTATTTGGTACATGTAAAGTGCATGGCACAATAAGCATGTCAAATCCAGAGACTTTAGAAGTATAACCTTGGTCCTGGCCTTGCTGACCAGTGAAGTTTTCTCGCCCCCTCGGTTTGTCCGGTTGTCTGTTGGTCCCGTTGCTGCTGGCTGACTGCTGGGTGCCGTCTGGTGCTCTACTGTATTGGCCACAGGGCAAGCTAAACTAAGGTTGTGTAGTCTTACTTATGCAGTTTTTTATATCAATCACTGTCAATGGATTTATGCTGCCACTCACCTTTGCCTCCAGTTGCCATGGTTACAGAGACTGGAGGAGTCAGCGGAGCCACAGATAGAGGCTCTGTAAAATTAAACACAGCTGTGCACACATAGATCCAATAATAGTGCGGCATCTTTATCTCTGTCGCACAGTGACACACACTACACTGCAGAGCACTTGAGAGGGTACATTTGCTTATGCGTGTTATGCTGTAATGACACTTTTGACTGAGGTGTGGGAGGGCACAATGGAAACACCAACCTACCTTGTTTTGAACTTTTTGCTCTTACGCTCTGTTAGAAAATGACACATTTGGTAAGAGTGAGTCAAGCATTAATCATACAAAAGGAAAGTCATAGCACAGCACCTCTGTACAGCTCAAGTTAAGGACTGCATGAAAATTAGAGTGTTGTGGGTCAGCCATATTATGCTATGTAGCTACTTCTAAATGTGGACAAAATTCACTTCTAGCATACAGTATAACATGTAGGGAGAGTATAAAGGTAACCTTGCTTCGGCTCCAAGAACTTTCCAGGAAGGATCTGGGTTGGGAGCTGCCTGACCATTCAGATGATGTGCCCACTCTCAGTCTCTGCTGCTCGGGCTCAGCTGGCAGACAGAGGGCGTTGTTGTCAGACACTTTAAAGGAAAAATATCTTTAACAAACGTAGATGCACCGTTTTTCTGTATACTGTAAACTGTACTGTATACTGCACCTTTCTCCGTGTGAAAGATGAAAGATTCTGGAGTTCTTTCAGGAAGTGGTGGAGTGACAGTTTCTTTATGAAACAAAATAGCAAAACGCATAGCCTACTGTGAGTCTGTGCACATTTATATCAGAATACTTTTTTTTTTATGTTGGGGATTGTATAGGCTATTGAACAATTCCATTTGTGTATTTAGTTAGATGGATATGTGATACAGTACCTGTCCCTGGAACTGGTCTGAACGTCTCAGATGTCTGCTCATGTGGTGTTAGGGTGTGTAGTAGAGATTCTGTGGTCAAAAAAGGGAAGTAAGTAAATAGCCTATTTAAAAAATAATTAACTAATAGCACCGACAGAACTTACTTAAGGCAAGACACCAAACAGGGTAAAAAAAGTACAAGATATCACCATATTTCCCCAGTTAATTGATTACATTAAGAGTTGCACACATTTCTTTGACAATCTGAAATTTTATATTTAAATATGCAAATGAGTCATGATCTAATTAAAGATGCACTAGTTTGCATACATTTCCAGAACAGAAGTCTGAACACAACACCTATTAAGCCAGGTTAACAGTAATTTTTTTTTGTTTCATTTTGTTGACATAGGCTATTAGAGTTAGTTAGGTTTTTACAGATGGGGATTTTGGATTTCTCTTTTTATCACTCTGTAAATCTGAAAATAATGGCAACACGAATCCACTCAGAAGAATTATGTCTATCAAAAGACTCGTTCAGATTCGTTTACTGGTTCATTTGGTGACCCTTTCTGTAAGTTACATCATTACCAGTAGGTGGCGACTGGTGAGTGTCTTTTTAAGGCGTTCCTTCAAAAGATTCGTTCAAAAGTTCAGATTACCATAACAACATAGCCTACATAATACAGGAAGCTAAACAATCATAACTGATCAGCACGACGCATGTCTTTGAAACAAAAAGTAAGTAGGCTAAGCGAACACAAGAACAACCATTATTCATGTGACGGCAAAGTTTATTTAATGAACACTTTCACCTCAGCTACAGTAGCATAGCATTCACCTCAGATTTCTCGAAGATAAACTGATTGTGCTTAGAAAAATAGACTTTTTATTAAGTGGAAATGTCATACGTGACATAATAACGTGAACAATTGTTACGTTGTTTTTTTTAATGTTGTAGGCCTCTATGAGGCTGGTCATCTCCCTTAGCCTATTCGTTTATGACAATTGAATCAATCGATTCGTGTCTGAAGTATTTTGTTTGCTTTGTTGTAACGTTACTGATTTTATAGATTCATTTTAAAATTGCGTTTATTTATAGCATGGTTTCGCTTGTCATCACTTAATGGTGTCGTCAGCTTTACAACACACCAGTATGTTGTTTGTTTTTTAGAGCAAATTCAAAGTTCACTTATTTTCTTGTGCACTGTAGTGAGTCTTACCCTGTGGATGTTTGTACAGTAGGGGAGGAGGACTGTGACTTGTGATCGCAATAGGACTGAGTGGAACAGATGATGCTGCAGGAAAAAAAGGAAGTTGTCAAGTCTGTAGCCAAAATAAATGTATTGCTGGTTTGCTTAGACGTCCTGTATATATATATATATATATATATATAATAACTGACTTACCAGGAAGTGACATTCTAAGTTTTAGGCTCTGAAATAAAGAAAACAAGCCTTTTATGTCTCATTTATAGCCTATTGTTCTTATTACGCTCAGCAAAATATCTCCAAAAATTGCACCAGGTTGTTGGTTAATGTCATGGAAATTTTAGACTGTATATTAAACTAACCATGTTTCTGACAACTAACCTTACTTCCCTTTCATGCCTACAGGCTAACAATTCTAAAACAATGTCAAGTCAAGTCATCCTCATTTATATAGCGCTTTTAACAATGTAGATGGTTTCAAAGCAGCTATACAGAGATAAACTTAATATAATTTAAGGTAACAGAGATTGGTTTTGTTTTATAGCGGTTCTTGAATAATGTTATTTTCCAGCTAAAGTTAGTTTTGATTGATTCACTTCCTAAATTAGGGGCCGCTAAGAGGACACCGTTCTCTCTAAACAGACTTTAAACACGAACCTGTGATAAACGCTGATGGCGTTCACATGCGCAATAAAAATTGATTCTATAGTTATGTGCGTTTGATTGAATATATGTGTGCAGGTTTGTAATTCCCTACAAACCATGCCTAAACAAACTACTTGTCTTGCCTATACATTTTGATACAGAATTTTATTTTATTTTATCACTTCGGGGTTGGTACGTGAACCCTAATTTCCACAACGCTTTATCTGTAGAGTGGAATAGGGATTCTCCATAGGGAGAGGCTGTACTAAATGTACTAAAACGTTCTGTCCTGTGTTTTTGAATGTTGTTATGTTGCCATACCCCTTTGACTTTGAGTGTGTGTGTGTGTGTATAAATAACATAGTTTGGGAAAACTTGTGATTATGAAGTAATGAAGAACCAATCAAATTGTAGGGAAATTATGAAATGCATCATGTCATTTTCGCCCATTCTCCTTTTCTATAAAAACTGTTGAATGTGTTTACTGGTGGGATTCTCAATGGGATTTGTCTGAGATCCTCCGGCCATGCTTATTGCTTCTTTTTGGGAGACTCTCTGAGAACTCCTCGAGAACTCCCGGCCGTAATAGAGAGCATTTAAAGTACAATTACTCAAGTCTGTCTGTCATTTAAGCTGCGCAGCGAAGAAAACAAGTAAGTTAGAATTATCGACTCGACTGTAGACTGGCTGGAGTAGCCTATAGGATTACACGGATGCTGTAGTTTACTGGAGACTCGCTGAAGTATAGTTAGGGAGCGTGGCGCTGTAGTCGACTGGAGACTCGCTGAAGTGTGAACTTAGCTAACGTCAATATATAGACGCGCTAGAGTATAAGTTATGGTAGTATAGTTAGGTTTAGGGAAAAAATCTAGAACATTAATTAGTCTATACATCTACTGCCCTGCATCTGCTCACCTTGCTCCTTGACCAGGATCGTTTCATGTCTGTCTGAGCTTCAGATGTTTGCCCAGACCATTCTAAAGATTTCCCAACTCTCATTACAACATCCTGTGGCATTTCCCGTGTCACATTTTGTACCAAATCTATTGAAAATAAGATGCAAATTAGATAAGGTACAAACAAAGTGACCTGATGAAATTTGATGTTGATTCATCATCAATGCCTGTGATCGTCATACCTTTATCCATGGCCATTTCGAAAGACTCTGGAGTTCTCTCAGGCAGTGGGGGTACTGGTGAGGGTGGGCTGTCTAGAGGAAACGGGAAAATTTACAGGTGCTTAAGACCACACATATTTGCATCTATAGACACAAATGTTCAAGTCTGCATAATGCTCACCTTTGTTGACACTCTCAGAGCCTGAGCTGGTTGGGATCACCAATGTCAACAGCTCACTGGTTTCACTGATATCTGGAAACAAGACCAGTGATATATGTTTTTTTTTAGTAGTTATTAGTTTTGAAACAAACAATTGAATCAATCGACTCCTAAAATTCTGGAATCGTAGGCCTACATTGATAGAGATTTGTATGAAGATATTTTGTTTGCTTTGTTGTGGGTTGCTTTCTTACCCTGTGGATGTTTGTACAGTAGGGGAGGAGGACTGTGACTTGTGATCGCAATAGGACTGAGTGGAATAGATGATGCTGCAGATAAAAAGGAAGTTGTCAAGTCTGTAGCCAAAATAAATGGTTTGCTTAGAGGTCCTATATATATATATAGGCCTATATATATATAAAAAAATTATATGGAAGAGACTTAAACTTATTTATTTCAGTTAAGTTTTTTTTGGTTTTAAGTTCAAGAACTAAAATGACTAACAACAGCCTGTATAATGCATTTTAAAAAGTATTCTTAATGCATTAATTATGTCTTGTAATGCATCTTATAATGCATTATATGATCTCATGACTAATCAGAACCACAGTTATAATACAGGTGAAACATTTGAATATCTTGCAAAAGTTCATTTATTTCAGTAATTCAACTTAAAAAGTGAAACTAATATATTATATAGACTCATTACATGGAAAGTGAGATATTGCAAGCCTTTATTTGTTATAATTTTGATGATTATGGCTTACAGCTTCTGAAAACCCAAAAGTCACAATTAGAATATTGTGAAAAGCTGTTAAAACAAATACAGGCTTGGAATATCTCACTTTGCATGTAATTTTTCGAGTCTCACCTGTACAATAATTCTTAATTTTTACACCATTAGAAAGTATAAAGGAATACAACACATGATAAACAATGTAATCTGTAAACCAAATAAACTTTTTATTTGGTTTACAATAATTCTTAAAAAGATTTAATGTATTGCAACATACATTATAAATTTGTTTCTATTTCTTTATGCATAAAAGCTTAAAGTAAACTGTTAAACAAATTACTTAAACTAAAACCGTAAAAAATAAAAACATTAATTTAAGCAAAAAAAAGACAAAAGTACATCAAATTACTAATGCTTAAACTAAAATTAAAATGAAAACTTATTAAAAAAAATAAACGCCAATTCAAAATATGCATATAATAATGGTATATAAATAATACTGAAATCACATTGGTGAGAAGTGGACATTGTGTTCTTATTTAGACAGTGAGTTGGACTAACCGTTCATTTCGTCTGCCAGTATAAAAGACTCCGGGGTTCTCTCTGGCAAAGGAGGAGGGGTGTCTTCATCAGATGAAGGTGTATTTGCACCTATACAAATTGTAAAATTAGCATAAGTGATCCATCATAAATCATTTTTGAGAGAATCAGTTGTTAAAAGTCATAGGTTTTCATACCTTTATCATTGCAGTTATGTATTGGCAGTTCCAACACCTGGTTATTAAGCACTAAACTAGGTATTGTAAGACAAGGGTTATTAAGCACTAAACTAGGTATTGTAAGACAAGGGTTATTAAGCACTAAACTAGGTATTGTGGGACAAGGGTTCTCCATCCAGATTTCATGAACCATAGAGTCCATAACACTGGGATTTTCACCAGCTGGTGGAGACTCAGGACCAAAATAAGGATCTTCCACAGTAAAGCAGAGGGTGCTGGAGATAATAGGCTTGTGGTCTTTGCCAACGGGACTAACATCTTGGTTTTCTTCCCGCTCCAGATGCTTCATATTTGGCCTCAGCTCCTGTACTAGGCTGATGGGATGATAACATGCAGCCTGGGTAAGATCAGTGTTGAGGCTGGTGGATGGCTCAGTTTTTTGATATCCACAGGTTGTAACATCTCTTTGAGGAGTTGGTGCTACGATTGACCTCTGATATTTAATCTGGGCCTCACTCATTGTACTGAGCATGTCTGCAGGACTGACTTTGGTGGAGATGACCTCTTGACTGAAAGGATGTAAATGTGGTTGTGGCCAAGAAGGGATTTTCTGTGTAATGTGATTGTGTTCATCCATTAGGATTTCCATCTCATTTCTCCTATTATAACAGCAAAAGATTTAGTTATAATCGGAAATAACACAAAACAGTCTCAGTGTGTCTTAGACAAGAAACAATTCAAGATTTTTTTTATTACAATTAGGTTTCTATTTAACTCTTTTATGTCCTTTTTTCTGAGTGACATACACAATAGTAAAGACTCATAACTCCAAAACTATAGCAAGGAGAGTCATCATTTGATAGATAATGTTTACATTTTTTTTTTCATTACATTTTGACATTCTCATGCTGAGAAACTGCTGAGAAAAGACAAAAAATGTGCTCAAGGAAATATTCACTTTCTAATTTGACATGCAATAACTCAGGAAGGAAATAAGGTAGGAGGACAATCATTTTTTCAAAGTAATCAAAAGTTATAGCATCTGGAATCAGGGTAGGCTTTTTTTTTGCCGAGCGTCCAAAAAAACATTTTAACCATTTGTCATTTTAATGTTATATCTTTAGATCTAAGTGAAAACAAAAATTTGCTCAAGTTTAGTCAAAGCCCAAAACAATTATGCTTCTTGTATTCTACTCTGTTAGACCTTTCAAATGACATATAACTCATGACTATCTGAGCTGTATGATGTTTTTGACATATTACCGTACATAGTACAAATATTTCATGAAATAATTCAGCACTACTTAGCAGTTAATCAAATTGGCTACATGTATTGTAAAGTTCAGATTCTAAGCTTTCAAATAAATGGAACTTATTTTGTGTTGATCAAGGCAGTAGTTTTGAAAAATATGATTATAAATTGTTTCGTAGCTAGGTGGCGCCCAACGGTAGTACACTCTGGTTTATAGGGAGGACTCAGCACTCGTTCAGAGTTCATCAGAATGGTTAGATGCATTAAAAAGCTGAGTTTCTTAAGCTTTAAAATGATAGCTTACCTATTTTGTGTTACTACTTTAGGTCATTATTAGGTCATTAGCTCAGGGGGGAAGGTCATTAGCTCATTGATTTCTCAGGAAGGTGTTAAAGTTGTGGCTTTGTGGTAGTATCAAAATTGTGGTACTATCTCTGTCTGTTTGAGCAGCCTGTCTTAGCAACACTAGCTCAACCAAGGGCATTAGTTTGAGGGTGGAACATATCTGTTTTTGACCAACGGCAAATGGGTGAATCTTTTGGGGGGGTTTTATCTTTGGGGATGCTATTGGAGCAGAAATTACACAGTTCAGACAAAAATGAAAAGAATTTTGAAAAATGTGTCAGTGTTGTTGTTTTTTTCATACTATGAAAGTCAATGGGGCCCAAAACAACATAGGACCCCACTGACTTTCATTGTATGGACAAAAGCAATTGAAACTTTTTTGTTTTAAATATCTACTTTTGTGTTCCACAAGAAAGTCATACAGATTTGGAATGGATCAGCATGAGGGAGAATAAATTCTCCATTTTTGGTTGAACTATTCCCTTAAAATCTGGATTAATACCATTGAAATTAAAGAGATTTCCTCAGACCTGTGCTCAGTTTGACGCAGCGCTCTGAAGTCTGTCTCAGTCTCTGATTCGGAGTCGCTGAAATCTGAGAGCTCACTCCCACTGCTTATGGTGACAGGTAAGGTGGAAGCTGGGACCTGATTGATGATCAAATTAAATTGTTCATGATTCAGGCCAGCAAAATGCTCTGACTATGATGTGTTAAATGTCATAACTAGAAAGCTAAATCAGTGGGAAATAAAATGACATAATTTATGTAAGAGTGAGTAATAATGGTGTCTTATCTGACCTCTCTGTTTGGTTCTTCCATTGCTGCTAGATATCTCTCAAACAGCAACTTGATGGTCCTGTATACTAGTTCATATTGTTCCTAAGAGAAAGAGAAGAAATTGATCATTAGGTAAAATTGAGGCGTTTTAGTTTTTATTGATGATGGCAAATTAAGGAGAAACCATTTTGGTTACCTTAGTCTGAACCACAGAGGGCCTCTGTGTACGCATGTCCTTTACCAGTTCAAAGATGCTGAAATTCTCTGGTATCATCTAAACAAGAGCAAATAAGATTAACATCTTACCTAAAGTATGTGCCTTTATTTTTGTGCCAGTACAATGAAAGCTTCAGTAAGATGTTTTGAATCCTTACCTGTCTCTTCAGTAGATTCCAGGTATAGTCGATGGCACACAATACACCCGTTCTCCCACAGCCTGCACTGCAAATCCCCAAACAGTCCCAAGAGAATGAGCCACAGTGAAAACACAATGATCTTTTCTTACATTCTTACTCTTTAGTGTAGTTTAAAGGTTAAATTTTTCTACATAACACTGCTGTGAAGTCACAAGAATGATTTCATTTTAACAAGTCCATTAACTGTGCTCAGAATATTCTGTGTGGAAAAACAAGTTTTAAAAACAAAATTGAAAAACACTTATTAAATATTTAAGCAAATCTCAAAATTAATATCCCTTCATACCAGACATTATAGTATACTAGTATTTTCTCTGAATATTATTGACCTCCATAGTTCAGACTGAAATATAGGTTGAGGAATGTCCTAATAAAACTATAATTAAATCTTCATATTATATATTTTTCAGTCTTAATGGTTAAGGTAACTTATAAAGAATACCTTAAAGAATTAATTTCTCTTCTGTTGGTTATGTAATTTCTTTCGGCATAGCATTAACTGTCATTATAACTCAGTGTTAGAAGTAGTGCAGATGCTTGTTGGGGTATTTGCTTGTTGTTGGTCAACCACCTACATATTTCCTGTGTAAAAAATGGTGGTGGGCATTTTCCATGGTTACAGATACAAACAAATCTTGCGTTCATGGCCACTAAAACTTTACATCATGGCCACAACATAAGCGCATTGTTTATCTGAATAGCCCCCAGCTGCAATCATTAATCATAAATGGATCATATTGGTCCATCACATCAGATACAGGCATTTACCTGCAGTGAATGCAGATGGGAAGCTCATCATGATCCTGGTAAATGCGCATGTCCTGCAGCAGCTCCAGGATGGCAGGAATGGAGTCAGGTACTCCGTGATCCGGCCAGTTCACATAGTGCAGCTGTTTCAGTGTCCGGGACACCTGGAAATAACCGGTGTGTTATAAAACTGTTTGTTTTTTTCTGGCAACCTGGTTTGCTTGTCATTAAACCACCACATTTTGGTGGTTTTCTTTCATCACTACAAAACATTTTCGGAAATGTCAGCACCTGTCTGTGTTTATGTTTGTTCCACTACAATGTCTGCACTACAATTGCTGCACTTGACTATTAAAAAAAAACTGAATGCTTTTGTACTCTTGCGCAGTGACATTTCCAAGAGAAAAAATATATATCTTAGGCCACCACAACAGTGTTTGACCTATATCAATACTTTTATATTTTGACGAACTTGACTCAAGTGTGAACACATCAAGCGATCAGTTTATAAAGTACTTATTTAGCTCATATTTTGGCAAACATCTAGTCTGGACATTGAAGAAAAATGATGCAATACAGAAGATTAAAAATTAAAAGCCAAGAAAAACAACCTTTTTTTGCGCTTACACTCAAATATGTATAATTCAAATCAAATTAATTATTATATATATCCGTATAAGAGCTGAATGACTCTGAAAAAAAAACTTTTTTCAGTTCATTGAAGTCAAGACCAAAGAAGTGTTACTTACTTGTTTACACGTCACCTTCAGCGTCCTTATCAAATATTCTCCCTTATTCTCATCAGACTCCTGGACAAAAGCAAACATGTACAGTACGTGAATGGAATGTTCATTGGATCATTAATGTGTTGGTAATATTTCGGATAATGTTATTCAATAGTGAATAACTATTTGCTGATCTACAATCTTACATTTGACTTTATTATTTATTTGGAGGGATGCATCAATATTAAAATTCTGGTTGACACGATAAGCTAATAACTACTTTCATGCTATGGTCGATAACAATTCTGTACTATTTTGTCTAAATAAATAAAATAATAAATACGTTTCATTTAGGCAGCACAGATTACATTTACAAGTTTTATTAAACTATTACTGTTTTCAAAGATAAACTTTACACTGAAAGAAAAAGAATCTGTAGAAAAATGGAAAGGGTACTAGTAAATTTTCTTCCAGGACATTATCCGTTAAGATTACAGACATTTTCCAATTTTATGGACTTTTTTTACAGTGTGAGCTCTCTTTTTTTTTTTTTTTTGCATCCTTCTTAGCAGTTTGAGATGTACTGATGTAGTGTTTTAGATTCAGGGTTGCTACATGAATGCTGAGAATCAAGCTTGAAAAGGCATGCGTCTGAGTGCATATAAAACACAAGGACAGGAAGTGTGGTGTGAGTGAAGGAAGAAGTGTCTCTTACATAGTGTATGGTGAAGGGCTCACACACAAACACATCCTCCTTTGACTCCGGCCAGTAACGCTCACATTTTTTCTGAAATAAAGAGGAAATGCTGCATTCAGTCTCAACTGCTCCCTTCAGATGCATCTGTACGCTATGAGAATAGCACTGTAACAATTTCAAAAGTCGTGATAGGGTGGGAGCTCAAGATAAAAAATAAAAAAAGTAGAAGAAAATGTCATGCTTGATGCATTGCTTCACCTTTCTGAGGCAAGAAGGATGTGGTTAATAAAAATGTAACAAAAATGCTTTCTTTAAGACACTGTGACTGACAACATTTCCTCTAATACACTGTCAGTTACAACTTACCCTTCCCATTTCAAACTCTCGGCAAGCCATCACAATAACCTACAGAGAGAGAGAGAGAGTTAATATGGAGGTATTTCCGCATGAGAATGATTCTCCTTTGCCAGAGATCGAACAGGTTGAACCTGTTTTTTTTAAAGGAAGTGGAATGTGTGTGAAATGGTCATACCTGCACATTGTATTCCCACAGCATCCTCCAGAAGTCCAGCACAGTGTTTGGCAGCGGGCCTTGTGTGGCAATATAAGCCCTAGAGCCCAACACCCCCTGAGATAAATAGAGAACAAATAGCAGCTGTTACTGATATTTTCTCAGTGATTGTTTAAGCATTACATTTTCTGTTTAATCTGCATTAAAGTATTGGATTTAGTGTATGTGTACATAGCATGATATCTTTCTTGCATATGACCATCTTACCTTAATGAAACTAGCATTAATGTAGTCCGTGTCATGTTTGGATTTAATGAGGGAGAGCTTTACTCTGCTGTGATCAACTGTGAGAAAATACATTCGTCAGCATCTTTAGCATTACTGTAATCATCACAATCATCATCTCATGTGTTTTAAGCAGTGTTTTAACGAAGCACAAATATTGTGTCATTTGCATTTTATACCACATCAGCTTTTCTAATGCAACAACCGATAACGACAATACAGTAAAGTACAGTACTTTATATTTTGGTATGGTATAATTACAATACAGTATTCATGTTCATGTATCGCTCACTGTGTTTGTATGCATTTACTGTCTACATTTCTATGCTGTCTGCATGACGTTATGTGTTCTTTGTTGTGGATTTGAATGTTCTGCACAATTTGACTGCATTGGCTCTTGTTCTGGACTGGGCAAATGTCCATTGTCCATATGATTGATTATATGACTGTATGATTTATTGTGCATCCTTGAGCTCGAGAAAGGCACTATAAACTATATAACTATATAACTTGAACATATTATTATTATATTATTAGAGAAAATATGGTGCTGTACAGTATATTATGGTACATTATACAGCAATATAGTATAATGTAATGTCCTTTTAGTATAGTCAGATGTCAAATGTAATACTCACAGGGAACAATGTCCTTGTATCTGTTCTTCTTCACGTTATCTTGTTTGTCCGCAGCTGTGGAGGGGTATGTCTTCTCTGCTCGATATTTTGTAGACTGCCTCTTCAGTTTCTGTTTTGACCAAATTACATAAAATTCGGTTGTGATTTTGTGCCATAAAACTTTTGGATTCTCTACATACTAAAGGTGGTTCAACCCACAAGTTCAGGGCTGAGATGTTAATATTGATATTAAACACTTCAGAAGAAACTTCTAACAGGGTTAACCCTGAATCCATTTTTGAGTTTTTATCTAAAGAAAATTTTAAAAACCTTATAGGTTTTTTTTATTGCTTTTTTGTAGTTATTTTTTAGCTTGGCATGAAAATAGCCAAGGAATTAACCTGGCATGACATTAAAACACTAACCAACCAATGCAAATATGGATATTATTTTAGAAGACAAAGCAAAGTAAGCAAAGCTTCTATTTCAAAGTCTTATTTGCAATGGTTTTGACATCTCAGCAGCAGTGATCTAAGACTAACAGAATGCAGTTTATAGCCCTGTGGTTAAGATCTGTGAAAAATAGATAAGTGTGGCTGTGTATATGCGTGTGTGTGTGACTGTCACAACAACATGCATGTGGGATGTACCATCGCTCTCCTTTGTGTGTCTCTGAGCACAAGCACCTTGATACCAGACCAAGAGACTTTCCGACCACAGCTGAGCTTACGAGAAGCCTTAAAGGGATAGTTCACCCAAAAATGAAAATTAGATTTACTCACCCTCAAGTCATCCTAGGTGTATATGACATTCTTCTTTCAGACGAATACAATCGGAGTTATATTAAAAAATGTCCTGGCTCTTCCAAGCTTTATAATGGCAGTGAATGACCGTTTCTGTTTTGAAGTCCATAAAAGTGCTCCACACGCTCCGGGGGGTTAATAAAGGCCTTCTGAAGCGAAGCGATGTGTTTGTGTAAGAAAAATATTCATAATTAACACGTTACAAAGTAAAATTTTAGCTTACGTAGTCTATTTAAACCTAAAGCGCAACTTACGCAACTTGTGTTGGAACGTTGGAAGTAGCGTAGTGCGTCATGGCGTAGTGTAAATATCAGCACTCAGCAGTAGCTATGTCGCATTACTCGCATAAGTTGCGCTTTACACTTAAGTGGAATCCGTATGTTCGTTTGGCCGGAAGCTAGTTATTTTACTTTATAAAGTTTTTTAAATATGGATATTTTTCTTACACAAACACATCGCTTCGCTTCAGAAGGTCTTTATTAACCCCCCTGAGCGTGTGGAGCACTTTAATGATGGATATGCACTTTTATGGACTTCAAAACAGAAACAACCATTCACTCCCATTATTAAGCTTGGAAGAGCCAGGACATTTTTTAATATAACTCTGATTGTATTCGTCTGAAAGAAGAATGTCATATGACTTGAGGGTGAGTAAATCATGGACTAATTTTCATTTTTGGGTGAACTATCCCTTTAAGAGCCCAACAGACAGTGAGCAAATATAGCAAGCTGAGTAATTAGCATGGGATCTCTGAGCTGAAACAGTCAGGACGGCATGTAAGGGACCAGCCATCACGCTGTGGGAAACCCTCAAGTTTTGTACAGTGAGACTGGACTCGTATCTGGCATTTCTCTACATTTATGTCCCTTGTGTCGGCATACATTACGGTCCAGCAGTGAGGACCAGTAGTTCTGCTCTCTCAGTGTGATGGGAACTTGGGTTTCCATGCTCTGCCAAATAGACAGTTTCTCTTCCTGTAAACGTTCCTTTAGTAAGCGATTCAAATCACTTATTATGGCAGAAGTCTTGTTTGGCAGCATTTTGACAGACATAATAAAGCAGCAGCATGTTTAAAAGAGCATTTTATAATCTGAGTAATTATTCACCCTTCATGTGAATGAGAAAACTGGCAGCAGACTGGCCTGGTTGGTTTGACATTGGGTGTTGGACACTTTGCAGCAGCTGAGGACTATAACAGACACTGTGTAGCGTTCAGGCTGGACCACAGAGCATGTTTTGTTCTGCTTAACAGGATGAAGCCATGGTGGCAAGGGCATGCCTAAATAAGTTTGGTACTTCAGGGACAAGTACGTAATGGGTGCAATCTTAGTTACGAGAGTAACATGTACCTGGGTGATACATGTTTAAGCGCTAAAAATGGCGTGATATTACTTTTAAATTTTCTGTTATGGCTATTTGTATTGTTTGACAATACAGTGTTGTAACCATTTACAGCTGAGGTTTTCAAATATTTTGATGACAATGACCCCAAAGTACAGTATACGCTAGATAGTTTCATATACAAAGAGCCATTACTTTGTGAGAATAAAAATGTGTGATATTATAAAGGCAACATTTTTTATTAAATTAAATAATTGCCCCCCGCCCCCCGCACACATGATATGCAGAAAAAAAATCTAGGCTATATTGTGGCCACAAATGAACCGTTCATTAAAACGTCATCACGTTTTACTAATTTGTTCCCTCGTTTTAAGTAAACCGTGCACATGATATAATAATTTGTTCCCTCGTTTTACTATATCGTGGCAACGTTGTAATAATTTGTTCCATTGTTTTAGTTAAATTTTGTAAAATGACTGAGAGAACGAATTATATTGTGCGCATGATTTACTTAAATCGAGGGAATGAATTATTATATCAATTTACTAAAATGATGAGAGAAATTAATTCTTATTTCATGGCCACAATATACATTTTTTCCCCCTCATGTCAAGTGCGGGTCTCCGTACTTTTGTACTGAAGCCAAATCAAAATTACGGTAATTAAATTTGATTACATTTTTTGTTGCATTAAATATGTTTAAAAATATTCAAAACTTTTCCTCAAAATGCTACTTTGTAGACTCTGAGAGCCACACATTTGACATTAGCTCAACTCTAGTTTCTCTAGCAGAACTGCATGGTGCTATAGCGACACCAAGGTCATGAGATTGATGCCCAGTCAACACTGAGAAGATAAGATAAGATACGTCCAGCTAGCAGAAACGTTCTCAGAACTTTGGCTAACATTCCCTGCAAGTTTGGTTAATGTTTTAAAGAAAACATTTGAATGTAATGTTCAAAGAATGTTCCTATAGGTTATATAAGGATATAACGTTTTAACTGTAACATTTTTAGAATGTTTTTAAAGAATGTTATCCGATCTTTTAAGAGAACATTCTTGGAACAAAAAGAAAACTACCCACTTAAAATGTTATAAGAACATTAGGAATAATGTTCTAACAATGTTAGCATTAAACATTTTTAGAATGTTTTTAGAGAATGTTATCCTAACTTTTAGGAGAACATTCTGGGAACCAAAATAAAACTACCCGCTGAAAACATTATTAGAACACTGCATGGAAATGTTCTCAGAACATTTTTAGAACAAAGTATTCTAGCTGGGACGTTTTGGGCATTACGTTATTTTTTTAGTTTGGTTTAGTTCAACAAAGAAAGCTCTTATTTCTATTTAAATATAATGTACTTATATCAGCATATAAGAGTGTTATTTGAAAACCACAGTCCATCCCTCACTGCCTAACATCCTGTTTCACTCTAAGCAAATGAATGCACTGTAAGATGCTTTTTAATAAAAGTGCCTTCCAAATATTAGAGAACAAACTCATTTTTGCATTTTCCGTTTTTGCATGGGTTTAAGTCGAAGTGACACAGCCCAGGATGGGTCATCATGGGTAACTCTCTCTCAGTCACCAATGCCATGACTGTTCACATGGAATATCTAACAGTTGACATTCGAGGGGGGAAGCAAAAAAAGGTTCATTTGGGGAAAGAAAATCTAAGCAGTAGTGAGACGAAGTACTACTTGGGGCTCCCTGTTGTAGACAGTCAGCCATAGATTCAATAATCAATTAGTTAAATAATAAATAACATCACGACAGATGAAAACTTCTGTTATGAAAGCTCAAATTGACAGGCACTATTTAAAAGAGGAAGTCCCCGCTTAGCCATCAGCTCAGTGGCCAGACACATTTTATTTTTAGCTTGCTTTTGGCACATGCATATAATGTAAAAAAGCAGAAACACTGGCACCTTTTTCAACCTATCCACTGTATCACATGACTTGAATCTGAGCATATTTTCACCCTGCGGTGACATTTGTAAACGCAAGACCTAGTTAATAACTTACCAAAAACTCTCCGGCGAAGCCGTTCTCTGCCCCTTCTTGTTCTGCTTCCTTGCTGCCGATTTGGGCCAGTAGGTCCCTCAGAATGCAGGCTTGGGCGTCCATGGCATGATGTGTGTCACAGCAGCTTCCTCCGTCATGTCAGAGAGAGGGGAGATCGGTGGGCTTCTGAAAGGTGTCCATCTTTGGCTTTCTCTCTACGTGCGTTTCTTGTAGGTCTACAGTTGAGTTGAGGAACTGTGCGATGTGTCGTCACGGAAGCAGTGGCAGCAACTGTTCACTAGTTCTGTGGTCAACTCGAAGTATCACTGTGACCCTCTCCGCCCTTCATTTCTTCCTTCAGATTCTCTCACTCTTTTTGTTGCATACCTAGCGTTTATTCTCTGTCTGCGGCCTTCTCTGTCTTTCTGCCCAACACTTTGTAGCACAAGGTTTTAGAGCCAATACCCCCCACACAGGAAGCTTTTGTGGGTGGGTGTGCGCTTGTATGTGAAAAGAAAAATAGTGAAAGAGTCAAAGTCATTTGCTTCATTGCTTGAAGCGGCCAAGCCTGTTTGATGACATTCAAAACAGTTGAACTAGAATCTAGAGAATGTGTAAATGTAGTCAGACCAGAGAAAGATACTTGTGTGGCTCTTGGAATAAATGTATTCAGGCAGTTGACCTGACATGTCAAGCAGTGACTGCAGTGTCTTACTGCAGTTTGACATGCTTAAATGGTGTCTTGTATTAATTCTAATATAAGCATTTTTTTACTCTAAAAATACAGTATTCAACATTTGAAGTGGATCAAAAAAGTTGATCAAAGAACAAGAACGGGTCGGGTATTGTTCAAAATTCATGTATAACTGTGATCAAAAGGTTTTGATCCACTTCAAATGTTGACTATTGTATATATATATATATATATATATATATATAGTTAAGTTTATACTGCTTTTAGCACAGAGTAAGTCTCTTTTTACTGAATTTTTAATACATTTGAAGCAGTAGTTTTAATGTTCATCTGCCTAGTATTTTTCTTACAGTAATTTTTTTTAAATATATATATATATATATATATATATATATATATACACACACATTTAAAATTGCATGTTTAATTTAATGTTACTTGCCATTACACACAAGTCTTCCATCTAGTGGCTGTTTGGTGAAAGTGCAGTCTCTGACCTTTTCCTGTTCTGTCCTGATTCACTGACAAATGTTCTATTACAGGTATAGCACTTTCTATACACAACTTTCTAATCTCGCCTGTAGATTGTCTGTATTTTAATTCTTATTGTTGTGAAGTTTTTGCATGAAAAAGTGCACTTTCACCTTTTCTAGAGTCTTTTTTTAAGTAAATTTGTACTGCATGTGTACTTATGTCTGTCAGCATACTGAAAGACCCCACAAAGCTACTTCAAAACCGCAGTTTGTCCATTAACGGACATCCTGTTTCATTCTAAACAACTGGCAGCAAGGTGCACCAACACAACATAATATCCACACCTCCATTAACACTATGAAGGGCTTGTTCATACTGCTTGTAGCACAGAGTAAGTCTCTTTTTACTGATTTTTTAAAAACATATTTGAAGCAGTAGTTTTTATATTTATCTTCCTAGTATTTGTTTAGTAAATTAGTTGTAGTTAAAGTAGTTAAATTAAGTAGTTTTATAAGGAGACCAAGGACGGCTGTAACATGGGTTGAGTTTTACCGACAGTTTAGAAAACAGGATGAAATACTGTATCTTTCATACATGACCACCAAAAAAGTTTATAGGACAATATTTTGGTAGAAAAAAATAAACTTGTTATTTCTGCATTTAAACGGTTGATTATTTGATTTGCAATCATAATGCGTGTTAAATTAGCTGAACTGGCTTCGCCTGAATCTCCTCCTTTTGTTCTCTTGTGAATCAGATTCTCTTGTTTAATTTGATAACATGCATTTACTTAAAATTTAATTCAAAATGTTAAACTAAATAACGGTATCTGAGCAAAGAGTGAGAGATATCTCAGTGATTGTAACACAACTTGTGATTGTGCCAATTTGCTTCTAGTAAACGCACATAGGTTGAACAAAATGACTAACATGCACACAAAAACTGTTATGGGTTTGCTATATGATTTTTAAAAAAACTTATTTTAAATTAAAATGTTTTAAGAGTTAAAAAAATTATAAAAAAATGTGAGATGCATAGCAGGGAAAACACTTGGTTGTCCATTTGGCTGTTGTTGATTTGGATTTTGAGATGTGGATGTTGTACTCAAAAGTAGAGGCAGAAAAAGGGGCGGGTTTTAAGCGGATTAATGATTGGAGAAGTCCTGTGTATGTCACCAGAGAGAAATCTGTTGTTTTTATCAGAAGATCCGGTTATGACATTTTGATTTAAACATTATGAGGTCAAATCATAAAATAAAAAAAGACACATATCGCATTTAGAAAATAGATAGGGTGAATTGTCATATCGTGCTGATTTTAAATCCTCGAAACAAAACAATATTTTGATGATCATCTTATTTATGCAGTCTTTAAAACTGTGACTTTTTCTCTAGTAAGTATGCAGTTTCATTGTGATAAAACAAAGATTCAAGCAACAATTGGAAGCACGTTCACTATTACCTGCACCTACAGAACAACCCAGTTCCGATTTAGCAAGAAGTACTGGTGTGCTGGAGACTCCAGAGCCTCGTGTGAGGTTCTGATGGACACAGATGGATTCACACAGGCGGCGTACAGAACACGGGCTCAAATCATTGACGGAGTTTCTAGAGGCTTGATTGTTAATGTAAGAGATCTAAAGTTGGACGACACTGGGATATATTGGGTGGCGATTGACAAAATGTATTCGGATATAATGACCAGGATCCAAGTTACAGTAACAAAAGGTAAGACTTTATTTTCATCATGTGAAGTATCCTAAACCAAAGTAAGATGTTTGGTCTATTGCACGTGTAATTTGTTTTTGTTTTTTTAGTACACTTTTACACATTTTAATCTTGATGTTTGATACAAGCAGAAATAGAATATCAATTTATGTCATGACAACTCTCTGAGTGGCATGGTAATGGATTTGACAATGTTGATATGTTTGGTCTTGGCAGAATAGATCTGCTACACTGCTGCTGCTGTTATTGCTGCTGCTGTAGAGCAAATAGCACACTCTGCTGTGAGCAAGTACTGTAAGACATGCTGCTGCTGTACAATATAGCATACATGAATTACCCATAGCAGATCTATACAGGTGGAGCTGGGGAAGGTGGAGGGTTTCTGAAAGTGTGCTGCAGAAGTTTGCTACAGCAAATGCTGACCAGAATTTGAAGTTTGAGCATGCAGTGAGCTCATTGGCTACTAATACAGCAGGAACCAATCAGCTCCACCCTATTGAGAATGATGTGATTGCAAGCAGATTGAGTTAAGGTCTGTGGTAGATTTTACCCCTAAACCTAACTACATACCTAAGTCTACCTGGGTCGTCTCCACATCGGCGTTCCCTGGGTTGTCTCCAATCGACATTCCCTATATATAGTCTACCTGGGTCGTCTCCACATTGACGTTCCCTGGGTTGACTTCAATCGACATTCCCTGTATATAGCCTTTTTCTCTAAACTAACTCACCTGCTTCCCTAAACTAACCTGCTGCGCAGCAGCAATGACAGACAGACTTCAGCAAATGTCCTTCAAATGCTTTAATCACGGCCGGGAGATCTTCCCGAGCAGTTCGTTGCTATTTTTTTCATTACTTCATAATCACAAGTTTTCAAACCTAGACATCTGTCTAGTTTCATTTCGCATATCTAACGATCGTTTATTATATCACGTCAAACCGCGTGCAAATTATACTTTGTTCGCAAATTGTTAATGTTAACAACGTTTAATGTCCATTCAGATATTTATCCATGTTTTCGCATGGGCCCGGTTGCAGTCTCTTTTTCCAAACTCTCAGTCCAAAGTCTTTTGCATTTTACAACGGGTGAGTCTCCAGTTGTCACTGGTGATTGTCGTTTGAACATTTCTGGATCCGTCATCAAATTAATTAGTTTAATTATATCAAGTGCTGTGAGAAAAGGCTATAAATCTCCACCTCCAACATCCTCACACGCAATATAGCTTATACTAGCTGAGAGACTCCTTCTTTATGTGTACAGATGTGACGTAATGACGCAAAGACATGCTCGAATCTCCTGCGGAAATCCCCCAGTACCACTGGAATTAAAAACATTAATTAAAGGTGCATTGCACAAAAGATTTGTGCGGCTGATGCTCCTTTGGTTATGAACAGCTCGTGCTCGTGCAAGCGTGCGTATGCGTGTGGTCCATGAGCGTGCACACCTCTGGTTGCAGTTTTGCTTGGCGCCAGAGGGGGCATAGTTCTGCAAAAACTCAGAGACTTGCGCAATGCACCTTTAACATTGCAATTAACATTACGCTTACCATTTTGAATCGAGCTAAGGCAAGCAGATAGTTTTGAACACTGGCTGGTTATGTACTTGCTCAAAAATTTATCTTGGATAATTTTTAACCCAAAAAAGTTACAGACTGGAGCTTTAATATACAGTTTAAAAATCTATCACAGGTCATATCAGCCTGCACCACCTAAGAGTTCCATGACAGAACTTTTGTATTTAATTTCAGAGGCTGTAATGAAACCACACTTTTGGCCTCTCAGTTCTCTGGAGATGACATGCTGGGGACAACTAGTTGTGTTTCGCTGTAGGAGTGAGAGAGGAACGGATGTGCAGTACACTTGGTACAGAGTTGGAAAACCAAACAATATCGTACTGCACAATTCCACTGATCTCCATCTCCATTGTTCAAATATCACTGAAGACAGCCAACTTTTCTGCTTGGCCTCTAATGATGTCAGCAGCCAGAGAAGTGAATTTATTTCTCTGCAAATCCTTCAGCCTGCAGACAAGAACTGTGTTTATCTCATCTCATCTAAGGGTGAGTTTAACCTGTACATTGATTGTATATTACGTTTTTAATACATTGGAATTACTCTCTGGAATTCTTGATTCTGATTGGCCAGTTGCATCATTCAGTCGTCAGTTATTTTTGAATATTTGCCGTCATCTGTCAACACCCACCCAATCTCACGGCATAATGTTTTACGAGGTGTCAAATTCATATGAAAACTTATTATTTTTATTTGAAAAAAAAATAAGCATGAAGCTCCACTCCTAAACATAACCATCACTTGGTCATAAACAGATTGTACGAAAACAGATTGTAATTCATTAGCCACCAATTCACCAAAACATAAAATAGTAACAAATGCCACTTTTGTCAACTGCAGTGAAAATGACCTCCGGGTACCTATAATACTAATGTGGCTTCTGTATCAAGGCCAACCTTTAATAATATTGTATTCATATTACATTATAATATTGTAATGATCGTCATGTTGATAGGCCAATCATTTCATACAATGCGATGGTGTAATCATTTGTAAACTTTTGAGTACATTAGTTTTACTTCACATGAATGGACATGATGTAGAATTTCTTAACTTTTTTTTTACAGTAGTTATATTTTTTGTGCTGTGTTGTTTACATGTTTTTAAGATGTCTGACAAGAGGATGAACCTCACTTTCTTGATTAGCTCTCTCTAGCTATGACTGCATAAGAAGCACAACATCACTCTCAACATCCATCCAAACTACAGAGGAATTACTGAGCTCTGCAACAGTCTCTCAACTCGCATGGAGTGAGAATAAGACGATGTTAGTCAGACATGAACAGAAAGCTAAAGATAGTAAAAATATATATGTATAATATAATTGTTTTAATGCAATTTCAACAAATGTCTGTACGTTAGAAGGCTGAAAACTATTATGATCTTGCTCTAGGTCTTGGTCTGGCTTACCTCTATGGCATGAGTGTCTTCGTTGGCTTCTCTTCTCAGCTATGATTACCATCTTATATCTAGTGCTCACATGCTCAAAATCAACATCCAGAAGGCTTAAGGCTCAAGTCAAACACATCTGACTGAGAACCATGATCACATCTTCATTACACAGTGTTTTTATTCATGGTGTGCATGTACTGTTTGCATTATTTTTACTTCATGTCAAGTTACTGTACATGTCAGCTCTGAATTGATATGTTTTGTCATTATTATCTACAAGGTGTTCAATAAATGTAGCCCGAACTGCTTAATTCCATTCAAACTTGTTTAGATATTTCAGCTTTAGGTGTGCTGTCTTTATTAAAAGAAATATATATATATATATATATATATATATATATATAAAGATTAAGTATTCACTTTGTATATTGATAGAAAATATCACACAATGCTCACATCACAAGCAGATATCAACATTAATGCAATTAACATTTTCAAGCGTGCATGTCTGCCTAATGAGTAGGCAGACAAGGCAACTAAATATTGTTTAAAGATCTACAGGCTTGTTCTTTTACATTTCAAATTGAGTTGTATTCATCTTTGTTTGATTTTCAATATATGGGCTTGATATGATTTGAGCTTTTCATTACTTACCTCTTGAAACTAGAGTTGCAGTGAGATGCCCAGCATAGCCTTTAACTCAAGAAAGACAAAAATCAAAATGATCAAAAAAAATATGAACTCTGAACAATATTACAGCTTACTAACATGGACGGCAGCAACAGCTTATATTAGACCAGTAATATATATATATTTGTAAATTGTAACCACATACTTTTTTCAATCTGCAATGCTGGCAGTTTACACATAATAATAAGTTGATTCCTCCTATAAAAAAAAGCTACATTTTTTTCATAATTTTTTACATTTGTTAGGAGAACATTTTTTCAAGTTGTATTTTAGCGGATCAGGATACTTGAGAGAGAGAATCATCTCGAACCCAAGAATGTCCATTATAATGTGTTGTCCTTGTCCCACTATGGTCTCTGTTTTGGAGCAACAGAAAACAAATTACTCTGGAACTATTTTTGGCAAGTTCACCAACGTTGAGAGACTATGGGATTTAAGTTGCAGTCTCTCTGTGCTGCTTCCCTCTTCCTGTGAAGGCTGTGAATATCAGAGGTGAGTTTGATACTCAATCATTCTGTTTTGGTCACTGTGTTTGAAATACAAATAATTGTATCTACAAATATAATGCCATGCTTTGGTATATTACTGAGATTTTAAGGACAATCTATTTCATGAAATGCATAGATCTGAAATTGTCTGAAATAAACTTTTTGTAATTTGATGGAAAAGAAAAGGGTAAATAAAATGACACATTTTATGAATAACGTCTAAAACCTAAAAATATTTTAAATTAAATATATACTGGATGGCCCAAACAGCATTCTTTTCTGTCTATTTAACCTGGTATTCCTGTAAACAAGGATCCCAAACACCACTTTATAGTGACAGCATAACTGCCACACAGCAAAAGCTTCCACAAAATGTCAGGTACACATTTAACACCGGACAAAGACTAAGAAAAACAGTAGCATGTATAGGTCCTACCCTACATAACAAATAGTGTACTTTTTGTCATTGATCTGAATGGCAGAGTTTCTCAATTTATTAGTTTTATTCAACGCTTAACTATTTACCGTGTTACAGTGTTTACCTCCACAGCACAGTGTACACTTTATTGCATCAATAAATGTCATCGTGTCCGCATCTTATCTCTCGGCTCAAAGTTTCCCAGATGGATCAATCGTAACATTTGAGTGTGAATTTGGGCTATGGACTGTGAACGGAACCTATATAAATAGTCTCTGACAGAACAGAGGAGAAAGGAAGCTCAAGTGATCACGCACTTTGAAGCTTGGTTAGTAAACTAAACCTATTTTATTCATTCGGTCAAATCATGGGCATAATATGACGTTAATAATTCAAACCTGTCTTGATTGTTATGCTAGCCGCTAACAGAACCAGGTTGTGTTCATGTGAATCTTTTGTGCCTGTTTTGTTGTAGAGAATGCTAGTGTTAACTTTTGATTATTAAAAAATACATATTTTAAAAGTGCATTTCTTTACGTCATGATGCTAAAATGTCTTTTTTGTTTATTTGGTGCAGAAAACAAATAACATTGGCCTTGATTATGGCTGACATTCACCGACATTAACAAGATGGGATGCAAGGTGTTGTGGCTCAGTGTTGCTCTCATTCCGTATCTTATGATCTGTGAACATGTCCGAGGTGAGTATCTATCTATCTATCTATCTATCTATCTATCTATCTATCTATCTATCTATCTATCTATCTATCTATCTATCTATCTATCTATCTATCTATCTATCTATCTATCTATCTATCTATCTATCGTTAGTGAACTACGATTTAGTTTCAGGTTTTACAGTCGGTGTGTCCCATTGCGAGTACTTATATGCTGTTCTCTTACGAGAGGTTCTCTCGTATTGCGTAAGTTTAGATTACGCTACGGGTAAAGTTCATATTTGCTCGAGATATTGAAGCCAAAATTATCCTTAATTTTGTATATATTGTCAACGCAGTGCAGCAGCTGCAGACCTAGAGCAGGCTGTCTAGCGTGCTCATTGGCTGCCTTGCGGCAACTGCAGCAGCCTACCAGTGAGCCTGGCGTGACGTCACGCCCAATGGTGGCGCTTCGTGCCCCTACGCGTCACAGCCCGCGCAAAGGGGTGTGGCTTAGCGTATAAAAGCGGGGCTCAGTGGCTGCTTCCCTGATTTTTATCTCTTCAGCGAAGCTCTTCATACCGCTGGATCCGAGAGAAGCCGCCGCCGTCGAATCCAGCGACTGCCAGCAGAGGAAAGCGCCTGAGGAAGCCGGTCGACTTCTCGCCGCCTTCAGCCTTCCGTGCCAGCAACGCTATCCGGCAACAATATCCTTTACTGCTCTTTTCACTGTATTTACTGTGTGTGTGTGCTCGCCGCGGCGACACACGCTTTTCTAAAAGAGCGCGAGCGTTCTTGTAAGAATGCCTCGCACGTCCTGTGGCTCGTGCCGAGCCCCGCTCAGCGTCGGAGACCGCCATGTGTTGTGCGCTCTCTGCCTGGGCCCGGACCACGCAGCCCTTGCACGTCGGGAGGCTGTGTCCACTGTGAGGAACTATCTATGTCGACCCTGCGGGCTCGTCTAGACCTCTTAACGGCAAAGCTGTCACTCCGCCATCTGCTGGACCGTGCAAGAAGAAGCGCCGTGCACAGAGACTGCCGGAGCCTGATGTGGCACTCAAATGCTCGCCGGAACGACTCCCTCGAGCATTTCTCTCTCCTTTCCCGCCCCCCCACCCGGACGCGCAGCCGCCGGCTCCCGCCCGCGCTGCCGCTGCCTCAGAGGTCGAAGCGCTTGATATGGATGAGGACGCGCCGCTAACAGCTGTTCTAATCGCGGCTAGCTTCTCTACGTACGAGAAAGCTATCCCGCCCCAGGCGCATGCGTATCTCACCGGCGGAAAAGGGAAGAGTGTTCTAGTCCCGCCGAGGCCGGACTAACCCCTATTTCTCAATATTGCAGCTATGAGCCTGTTATATAACATGCACTCCTGCAAACTAACGCTGACACAAAGCTGTGATGACGCTTTCTTATCTGCTCGCGCTAACTAAAGCTTACGTCGTTTCCCCTGTGGCTCACTGGCGAAACCCTAAGTTTTCGTGCCAGAGACCCGTGTTCGAATCCCGGCTCTGGCAGCAGATAAAATTTATGCGGCTCTCCTCTCTGAGCTCGCGGACAGTTTTTCTTACGTACAGAAAGCACTGTTTAAAGCCGCGGCCGGACCGCCGTCAAACTATCTCGCCATGTCAGTCCCCCTGGAAAGGGCTACTGCACTGGAGTATTTGGCAGCCAACGAGTCGGTAATGTTACCCGCTTGCCTGCACACAACCGCCGTTTTTACGGCAGCCCAGAGAAATCTCAGAAGAGTGTAATGTCTGGTTATCCGGCTCATGCCTTTGGTGTTTCAAGTGTAGAAAAAGTGCCCACGTCTCAGTGTTCACCCCTACACACAAGCACTGTACCCCCCGTGTCTCACGCTCGCAGAGCCCACTCTCTTAAAGCTGGCAAATGCCGCTTGAGTGTTAGATGCAGGTATCGTGCCCACAACCTTGTGTTCACGCCCATCCTCTGCTCGCTCTGTCACATGGCTAAAACACTCTCATATGGGTCAGTCTATGAGCGTAAGTCGCATGCCCGCTCACGCTTACAAACAGACACACCGCCTTCGGCGCCGCTCGCACATCACAATATTTTCACAAAACGTTCCCCATTCGTAGCAATCGGGACGTCTCACGTGACATAGCCAGCTGCTGCTGTCAGCGAGCCGTGGTGTCCAGGCTCTCATATCTGTCAAGCTATGAATGTAAGTCACGTGCCCGCTCACGAGCGCTCACGCTTACTAACAGACACACCGCCTCCGGCGCCGCTCGCACAGTACACGTGCTCACTCGACGTTCCCCATTCAAAGCAATCGGGTCGTTATAAATGACACAGCTAGTCACACAAAATGAAATAAGCTTAGGCTGTTTTTGTAGGGATAGGCCCTTAATTTTATAGCAAGCAAAGATAACGGTCTATTATGAGACCGGGCTAGACGAATGATCACTGTCATTGCATCCCCAACCTGGGTCGGACCCTCAGTCATCTCATCATACACAAGAAATAGTTTTTTGCTTAGTAGGAAATACAATATCAATAAAACACTTGATTACTTAAAACATATCATAGAAAAAACACAGAAAGAGAAATCCTTCAATTTCATTCCCTGTCCTTGTACGCCATCTCGTGACACGGATGACCGCTGTTTGTAACTTTCTTTAAAATCTTTTGCCCTTAATCATTCTCAGAAGAGGAAAAATAGAACAGGAACAAACAAGACATACATACATTTAACACACATCTCACTGTAACTTCCGCTACCTGTATCGTCGCATAATTTTGTTCATCCTTGGGATAGATTGTCATTTTTTACCAATTGAACAGACAGCAGGTTTCACCTGTCTCTGTAATCATATTCACCCATGAATAACAAAATTATCAGAATAATACACACAATCCTAACTCCTATCATTAAGCTTTTCCATTAATCCACGCCCATCTCCATATTTTATTCACTTCTAATTCAATTTAGTAAGCTCTATTGAA